GACTAGACTCTTGATGAATAGACTATGATATGAATGAGGTGTTTCAGCCATTCATCAAGAGTCTACATCAGGCGATCAGGACGCATGGATCGATCGCTGCAGAGCCGGAGAGCTTCCATAGACAGATGGGATGATGATCCTTCGATTCAGCCAAAGCCTGAACCTTAGGATATTCCAACCACATCCAACCACCATTGACTTCAATAATACTTCACTGAACAACCATGCTTTACTGGTGATTTTCTACATCACAAGCCAGGTCAACCATTTTTGTTCATGGTCGACCGGGAGGTGAACAGCTGAAGAAAGGCCAGAAAGGCCAAAGTCAACTCCTCGCAAGCCCGAATGGACTACATCCCACGGACCACCGGGTGAGCATTCGGAAAAGTGGTCGGAAACCACGGGAGAAAGCCCGCCTCTCAGGTTCCATGTTGGTTTGCGGGGGGTTTCAGTAATTGCAAACTTCTGCTTGGTGTATCGTGATGAGCGGCTTGAATGGTTCGGGAAACCGGCCACCGGAGTCTCCCTTAGCGTCGCTCGTCGACGTTGGCCGTTGATCAGCGGATTTGCCAGGCGACATGCAGCCAGTGCAGAACATGGGGCATGGCGCTGAGAAGAGCCAAAACGTCTGGCCTCAACCCTACCCAGAAAAAGTGGGCAACCTGCAAAACATCTTCTGGGCCAGTGGTTTTGCCACTCCACCGACAACATGCGGACCGTTCGGTTCACCGGTGGGTTTTCGGATAGAGACGGCTCGGGAGTCCTTCTCTAACCTGGCCTCACAGGGCCTCTCACATCAATCAGTGAACCTTGAGCAGCCTACCGAGGCCCATGGGGATGCAGCATCCGCAGGCGGTGGGGAAAGGGGTGGTAGACCGGTTGGTGGACATGGCGGTCGCTTGAGCTCGAAGAACGGGATGCGGTCGGCATGCGGTCGATCATGCGGTCGTCTGGTAGAGGCTGTAGCCCAGAAGAGGCCTTCTTTACGTGGGATCATGGGAGCCTCAGACGGCTTCATGGGAGCCTCTAAAGCGGATCATGGGGGAGCCTCAGATGGCTTCACTCTTGACACTTTTTCCACCGTGATGGATCAACGAATCCGTCAATCCGACGAACGCGTTCGTCGAGGGAGTCGCCCGCTTTTCACGTCCGTCGCTGGCGGCTGCTTCCGCGGGCCGAGTGGTCTGAGATGGTGTGAGAGTTCTCGTGCCAGGCTCCATGCTTCATGCAGTGTATGGGACCACCATTGGTGCGCTGGCCCAGCCGTTTTTGGAGGGATGGCGCCCTGACAGATTGCCCTCGTGGTCAGCATGGACGTGTCAAAGTGTCTGGTGGGCAGCCCTTAGGGTGATGAAGACCCATAACTGAGTGCAAGATTGAGTACAATGCTAGGGCCTGGCCATTCAGAATCCCTTCGCGTCGGAACCGTCCCGAAGAAAGCCAGCGCTTTGTCCAGGATTGTGTGATGAACGGGTTCTTTTCTTCACACCTTTCTCCCGATGGTCTGCGGACTGTGTTGTTGGGTACTGTATGACAGTTGTGGTCAAGAAAGGACTCCCTTCGTCATCCCTCAAACTGTTGATGTGGTCAGGCGACAGTGCCCGCTGACATGGCACCCATGGATGGCATGCAGGCGTGAGGGGAAAAAACAGTCTGAAGCGTCAGCGTCTAAGGGTACAACGAGAGGTGCACCGATGCACCTCTCGTTTTGTCGGAGATTGCATCATGCGAGCCTTAGGCATGCAGAATGCACTGCGGGATTGGGTCGAAACATGACGCCCGCAATTTTAGTAAGCCAACTGTGCATCCATGCCGCTTTGGGCCTCACAGTTCTCAATTCCACCACACATGGCCTCTTCTTTCCTGTCTTGGAGATGCTTCCAACTGTGGAGAAGAAGGTGAGAACACTCCCCAAACTGAAGTATGGACATGGAGGAACTTTGATGGCCCCTTCTGAACTGGAGTTTCCTAATCATAGAGCATGTCCTCCAACAAAAGTGGACTTGTTGGTGTGGGAGTTGGGGTGTGGGCCCAGCCAGCCAGACTCAATGACCCAGTCCATTTCAGGGCCCCCCGATGCATGAGATGCCCGGCGAGCTCAGTCGGGACGCGCCCGCAGTGTGTTCTTTTTGCCCTCCCGCGGATGGCAGCGATGCCACGCCACTGTGGCATGGTGTCTCCAGCTTCTAAAAGACACACCCGGTGACCGTTGTACCTTCTTCAGGATGCCACGACATGAACACATTTTTGCAAGCTTCTCCTTCTGGATCCCCGCACCAGTTTGGATCCCCTCGCTTCCCCGCTCGAACTGGTCCGGACTCCGCAGCCGAGCCCGGCGGCACCGGGGTGGTTCTTCGCCGCCCCCCCCAATAAAAGACGGGGTGCAAGCACCACTAGCTCGGAGCTTGAGCCTCTGGCCAAAGGGACTGCACGGCAGTAAAATGGAACATACGGCTCGATCAGTCCCATTTGTAGCAGGCCGTTTTTCGGAGAACTCTCACTGACCGTGAGCCTTTGTTGCCTTTCTGGTGGGCCCTTTCATCCAGTCAATGAGCAGGATACACCAGGATAGACCAAGTTATGCACGCAACATTCCCGGCCCCCCCAGAGATGCGGAAACGCATCAGAGACCTCATGTGGTGGGGTGCGGGAGACATTCCTGGCCCCTCGTTTCAGCATATTTCACTGTAGAGAATTGTTGACCCTCCCGCAGAATAATATTGCGTCCGGGTGTTGTAGAGGAAACTTATCTTCAACGGGGTCATTTTCAGGTCCATGTTAGTCTGCAGTGAGGTCACCCAATGGCCTCAAAAGGCACAATCCCGTTGGGCCTTTGCGACTGCTGAGGATGCCGCCGCCCATGCCAGGTGGGAGCCGGCGGTGATCGGCGGCTTTTGGGTTTGAAGGGGGAGGGACCTGCGAAGATGAAGACTTGGAGAGAAAGGGTTGACATTTCGATGTCCATCCTCCAAACCCACAACGCTTTGACGCTGGACGCTGGACGAACAAGCCCATCCTTTTTCCATCACGCTTTCCCTTGGAACAGTGAGATTGACAAGTTATCATACTACAGCCACACGCTGCGCGCCATGCACGGGCCGGAGGCGCAGGAGTGCCGCCGTGGCAGCACTTCCCCCCGATGTTCCCACCCGCGCGGACACTCGGGGAGTTGAAGTGGAGAGGCGTGCCTAAAAGTAAATGCCAGGACCTCTGAACCAACTCCAGAGATGTATGAATTAGCAGAAAGTGAATTTGGCACACAAATGCACAACATTTTTTTAATGACCACATATCATTTTATTATTATACATATAATATTATATATAATATATATATATATATTACCAAAATGCACAATACAGAGAAAAGGGAGAGGAAAATCGAACCCTTGAGACTCCCCCAACGAGGAACTACTACTTCAAGACACTCCTGGCACACCCAGTCCATCCCGCTCTCATTGTCCATCCTTGTCTCAGGCAGGTCCTCCTCCGCAGTGTGAAGCTCGGTGGAGCGAGCGCAGCGACGTTGAATACCTCGGCGGGAAGAACGCAACAAACTACACAAAGGGAACTTCGACCGGTTAGGAACGGTTAGAAGTTGTGAAGGACTGGAGAACGCAGAGAGGACTGGAGGATGCCAACCATTTGAACAAGCTCCTGGTTCTTTCAACTTTGTAATTTTTCCAAAGACTTCAGCACTATCAACGGTTGTATCCATACCAATATTATTTCTTATATCTTCATTATTATATCTCAAAAAAGGATTTGTATCAAGTTCATCAGGCCACCCTGAGAAAGAGACATCCAGTCTTCCATGTGTGCTTGGCGCCAAGCACTAGAGCTTTCCGCCCAGGTTCGGCTTTGGACCTCCCATGTGGCCGCCAGCGCCTTGCCCGGGACCGTGCCCAGGGCCTTGTCCTGCAGATGGCCTAGTGCTGCTCGGCTGAGCCATTACGCGCAGCTGAGCAGCGCGGACGACGCGCGAGCCTCACGTGCGTCGTCCGGTACCTCATCCAAGCTGCTGACAGCCATTCCCTAGACTTCCAAGACCATGAAAAAGATTGGGAACGACCGGGTTAGTTTTGTAGTGTCAAATCCTGATTTGCTTCGGTAAAGCCTATTATTACATGAACGGTGGTTGCAAGCCTTAGGGCATTGTCATTCATTTGGGTGGCACCTTGGTGTCCTGGCCCGGGTTAAGATTCCGGGGCGATCCGGGGCCCCTGCGGGCCAGCCAAAGATGACCAGCCGCAAAATGGAGGGGCCGGTCCCATGTGCGGCTTCGAGTGTTTGTTTTTTTAAATAAGAGGGTGACCAATCACATGACTTTCCGAACGCCCTGACATGTCATGACATGTCATGACATGTCGGGGTGGAGGACAGCGTTTCAGTATCTCGGTTTGAGCGATGGTCATGCCCTTTCTCGCACGCTGCAAGAACCAATCTACTACAACTTGTCTCAAACAAACACCAAACTTGAACAACCCTATAGGGTCTTACAGGTCTTAACATCTCTTGGGGTGGGGCGACACGACTGATTCTGTGCTGCATGCGACTCCCAATACTCTTTCGGGGAAGAACGCCCCAGTCGCGCCCAGGTTGCCTAGGTACACCTCCAACGCAGGGTGCTTGTGCCGGCCCCAGCCAGAACTGCTGCAGGGCCAACGCTGCATTGAAATACAAAACTGGTAAATACTGGACCTCCCGCAAAATCAAACCATGCAGCCTTCACGTGGCAGATTTCAACACACATACGTGCCTAAGCCCATCAACGTACATTCGAGCGAGAAACGCGGGACTGCAACATGGTTCTTCTCCCCGGTGCCATCTCACCTTGCTGCCAGGTTGCCGGATGCCCCGCTGGGCACCATCCCTGTGAACTCAGCTCCGGTGCTGACCCCCCCACCCATGCCCATGGGTGGCCCCGCGCCCCTGCCGCCCGCGCCCCTGCCGCCCCTGCCGCCCGTGGCGCCCCTGCCGCCCGTGGCGCCCCTCTCGCTGATGCCACCCTTGGGCCCCGAGCCGCTGCCGCCCGGCGCCGTGGCACAAGGCACCTTGGGGCCGCCCCACGGCGCCGTGCCCCCCGCGCCTCTGCCGCTGGCGACCAGCCCCGCGGCGATGGAGGCGAGAGCGCCGGAGAAGAAGAGCGATAGCCCGAGATCGGTGCGGAGCCTTGATGCTCAGCAGGTTTTTGGGAGGTTGGTGGAGGATTTGTCAGCAGACTGTTGGAAAAAGACACGGTGTTGTGTGCAGGATGATGCCAGGAAGTGGCCCTTCAAGCCAAATACATGGCCCTCCACACGAAGTTGTTCGTGAGCTCGATGATTGCCGAGGTGATCCTGAAATTGACGGGCGCCTGGAACGCGCTGTCAGGGCAACCCAAACCGGTTGGCGACGGGACGGGGTGTCAAACGGATTCCAGGCTCTAGAGAAGAGATTTACAAAGCTTTTGTTACAAGATTAACTATTTCTTTCATCTTCTTTCATCTTCTTTCACGTTTTTAAGACCTGTCCTGGCGATGAGACAGTAATAGTAAGGTTGAGACTGTGCAGTCGGTTTGTTGGGGTCGTTCGTATCGAACCGATGCCGCGTGCCTTGGCGCCTTGTCAGGGCGACGAAGAGGCACGATCTGCCAGGGGAGCCAGGCGCGCAGCGCAGGGATGACGAGCGGCCGTTGCAAGGAGCACCAAGGCCCATGGAAGCGACTTTTGGGCACCGAGATGCAATTCTTGAGTCTTGATGAGTCTTGAGTGTTCTGCCCTCCGCCTCAACAAAAGGACACAGCCATGGCCGCCGGGGGTCGGGCAGTGTTTTTTTTTGTCTTCCGGCATTTGGAGATATCTGGACGCTTTGCCGCTATGGTTGGTTTCCGGTGGGCCATCCCCTTGGGTTCTGACCGGACCTGCTGATTCAAGGACACGTCAGTGCGGATTTGAGCGACGAACGCACTATAACTATATATCCGAGTCGGTCGACTGGGGTATCGGAAGGTCGACTGGCGATCTACAGGGAACTGAGAACTTGGGTTTTTCAACCCTCTCTCAACCTACAGCCCATAGCCCATACCCCAGAGCGATCTTCTACTCACTCCGCTGGATGTAGAAAAGAACCCTGAAGCCTGAAGCCCAGTTTGACGATCAGGTGCCGACTTCGAGGAGGGCTGCCGTGGGCGGGGTGTGGCAGTGGCGAGCTTCCTCTGAGGCCTTTTCACGTGCCTCATACATGGAGTGCACTTTCCAACTCTGGGAAACATGGAAACATCCGAGCACCATGTGGCTGAGGTCATTGCATTTGATCCTCATGCATCATATGTCCCAAACCCTGGACATCAGAAGAAGCTTGTCAATGTGGAGAAGGATCACTGGGGGTGTTTGTGCAGCGCTCAAAGCTTGGGATCGCACCGTCTGGAGCAGTCCCGAGGGAGGTTCCCTGTAGACTGGCCCGAACTGAGACATGGTGTATCCAGTTCGTGGATGCTGGCTCGATCCGAAACTGTCCTTTTCAGAATGCGTAGGTGTCAAGGTAGGTGGCCTGGAAGGGGAAGTTGCAGTTGGGCGTCTCTGTGAGACGACTGACGAGAGAGGGGGAGAGAGTGAGGAGGAGAGTCTTAGGTGTCAAGGGCGGATGGATGCGGAGCGCCCGCTGGCTTTGGTGGGGCCCCATGGCCCTCTCGGACACCTCGCTCAGGGCGGCCCTGGGGATCCGTCTGAGCCGCCTTGGGATCCGTCTGAGCCGCGCCGGAAATGCCCGGTCTTCCGTTCGGCGCAGGAGATGCGAGCCATGTGCGTGCCTCCAGCGCGTGGCTGGGCGCAGTGGGATGGGCGCTCCCAGCACCCAGGGATGGAGCTTTGAAGGAAGAGATCCTGCACCCCACGTGGGAACGGCTTCATGTCCTGTGCCGTTGGATTCCTTTCTCCCGCGCAGAACGATTTTATATCAAATTCGTGGATCCCCCCTGGTGCTGCACTTCGATCCCCTTGGGCGGTTCCCGTACCTTCTAGCCACCTTGGTGGGTGCCGCCGGCGGATGATCCCAACTCATTGGTCCAGACGGCGGGCATTCTCCTCCCAAGGATGAGCATTTGCCACCTCTGCACAGGTGCGGAGATGGGTGGAGGAGTTGAACATGTCATTTTTGGGGTGTGTCTGTGTGTGTCCAAATATGGGAGAGTATGAGGTGAATCATCTGACTTTGCTGTGGATTCATCTCTTTCTGCGCTTGAGATGATGATGCGAGCGACCTCGCGTCAGTCGCCGCGTCGGGGCGTCACGGGTCGGTCAGTCGACGCATCAGAACGAAACGCGAAAACGAAACGATGGACTTCAATCATTGTGCTACACCATCTGTGGAGCTTTTCCTTGCTTGTGGTTCTTCTGATGTTTGATTTCCTCAGGAGAGAGAGAGAGAGAGAGTGGTGATCATGGTTTGTGATTTGTGAGGTGGTTTGAGAGCCAATGAGAGCGGCCAGTGACAGATGGCCGTCGGTTTCAAGTTTGCGCATAGGGAAGCTGGGAGTGTCATCATCAGGCAGACCAGCCGAGTTTGGATCTTCCTTTTGTCCTTCTTCATTGAAAACACGGGAGTTCATTGTCCTCGTGGAGTATGGCGGTATTTATGTATATATATATACTGTAGACATATTGGGTTGTCATTTATAAAAGACTGCGACTGCCAGGGTGTGGGTTTCGCACACAGAGAAGAACAGCCATCCCGACTTCGAAGTCTTCGGATAGTTGTTTCTGGGGTTCCAAGCCGATACCGATCAATCCTGTGGTGCACACTGTGCGGGTGGCGAGGATACTGATATAGGTGGCCAGACATGTCGCACTTTCTCACCCCAAGAATGTGCACAAGAATTGTAAGATATATTGCGACAACAGCTTTTGAAGTGCAGCCGCGGGGAAATCCATGCAATTCAGGGTTTGCTTTCTCAAGGAACCACGATGCCTGGTGTTTTTAGCCACCCATCGCTAGGGTCGATGTCCGTCACTTAACCTCTCTTGGATGTGCAGAAAGTTAGACAGACTGCTGGGATCCCTGCCAAGAGATGTGAGATATACACGAGTATAAGAGTAGATGGCACAGACCTCAAGATGTCCTTTAGATGGGGGTGCTTGCCTGAAGTCCCACTTCCAAGAAGATGCGCTTGGCCTAATGTGGGGTACTGCATCGTTCCAGGGATGACGATGTTTGTCCTTTTGACTCATGAAGCAAGTCCTCATTTCTGCCCATAGTCATCCTCTTTGTGTGACTTGTCTTCTTATTGTGCCCAAAAGTGGCGCACAAAGACACATGAGCGCAGCACAGTCTCGAATTGAAGAGAGTGGTTTGCTCGAGCCACACTGACCCACAAGGCAATTCTACCCAATGCCATGTGTCGACGACGCGCGGTTGAGCGCTGCCCGCGCCATGTCTTTTATCAGAGCGGCTTCCTTCGCAGATGTCGTCGGGGCCGCGCTGCCTTGGGAGGTTTCAGGTGTGCTCATATGACGGCATTTGGTTCTTATGTCATCGTAAGAGTAGTAGATATCAGTAGTAAGGGCTTCCCCAAGATTCTTCTCTGCCCTTGAGATGCTACTTATGTTATCATATCAGATATCTTTAAGTCTTAAGGGCTTTCACCATCTCCAGTGCAGTCAGCCAGTCTTCATGGGTCTTCATGTACGCAGTCATTCCCTCAGGGAGGGTTTTTGCATTCCCCTACCTAGATGCCAAAGTGTTGACAACAGGGCCCATGAAGACACTCCAAGGATCTCCAGGACACTCCCACGTCCCAAGCCCCACCGGTCTGCAGTGTCCCAACATGGATCACGTGATCAGCCTTCTCCATTGAAGCTGGAACCCCCTAAAATAGGTCTTTGAAGTCTGGATTTTAGATGATTTTAGAAGGTCTCCCTTGAGTGGCACCGCTGAACAGCTCAGTGACCCAGTACAGTGAATTTGAAGAGGCTGCATGGCTTCGCTCGGCAGCCCCTCTCGTTCGCTCGGGGCCCCACACTGGACCAGTCGAAACGACAACCCCAGCACCAAATGAAACGTTTTTGGGCCGAAGGCAACGGTTTTCGGCGAGGGGAGAGGTCTGCAGGAGTGCCTCTTCTGGAATTTCTGATTTAAAACGAAGATGTGTGCACCCTCAGGTGTGAATCACACATTTCCCACTGGTGGGCGGCAACTGCTACAGCCTCACCGGACAGACTTCTCTTCAGGCTTTGAAGCTCTGTCGAACGCATGGAACATGTTGACGGTGAGGTTGTGAGTCAGTGTTGCGCGGTGTATCAGTGTCGTGGTCCCCGGTTGGCGACCCAGGAGTGCGAGGCAAAGCGAATCAAAAACCTGGTCTTTACATAGCATAGCTTGTGTGCGCAAGCGGCAGGCGTAGAACAGATTCACAAAGAGCATATCATATTGGCTTGGGTCTGTCCGTTCTTACCTGTAAGAGTCAGTAAACAATTACATATCACTATTTTTGAACGAGGCCTGCAACCTAACCATCATCATCCACTGGGCCCAGGTATTAGGATAGACCCAAGCCATCTGGCACACGCCGTTCCGTTCACTCACCATGGTACTCGTACATGTCGACGTGGGGATTTCGACTGCAGGGCCCTGTGAGATCCCGGGATACATGTGAACCAATGCATCCCATGAGGTAACCACATCCCCGGAGGTGACTCCATGGTTACTCCATGGTCACTCCATTGAGGTATACTCCATGGCAGATGTGAGCAGTGCTTTTTATTATAGACTCTTCGAGGGGTCCACATGGTGAAACCCGTCTCCAAATCGACCGTCTCCGGCTCAGGCTCCGACAGAAGACCGATGTCCGTTGTGTCGGACGTACTCCTGGGTTCGTGCGTGTACTCCTGCTTGGCGTCGGACGTACTCCTCTGTGGATCCACACCAGTTGTGGATTGGGAATCAGGGGTGGACGTGTCTCAAAATCTCGAATCAGCAAATGATGAATTATATGAATTTATCAGTTCAGGTCATGGTCCCTTCATCTCTACTCAGTTGGCCCTCAACCTTTATTGGCGCTTTGCTCTCTGATGCTGGCGGCAGCAACCGAGGAGGTCAGCCAAAAGCATGTTGTAGGCATTCTCTTTTGGGCCCAGCTTGGTTCATATTTTGAGACCGTCGCTGCTGGTATTTTTTGGGGAGCCCTAAGCCCGTGTCAGCGTTCCCCTGTGAAAGCCTTTGTACGATGTGAAACCCTTGCTCTTCGAGGATCAGGTTTGGGGAGGGAGACCGGCTTCTCAGGAAGTTGCACTTTGCACCCCGCATGACCGTTTCACACGGGAGACCTTATTGAGTAGGAATGAAACGGTATGTAGGAAACGGAGTCCCGTTTCATACCATACGTTTTATAACTTTGCGGACTTCAACGGGAGACCTTATTGAGTACAGTAGGGAATGATTGGCGAGCGGGTTTGTTCCCGAGTGCCAGGCAGTTCTGACAGATTCCCGGCACATGGAGATGGGTTTGGTAGGCTTATTGTCTAGCATGAGGCCGTGTTTTGTTTATTTTTGAGAGGTGACGTGGTGTTGCTCCTTTCTTCAGGGAGGCCTGATTTGGGCAGGGCAGCCGGCAGGAGTGGGGCATTATGGACACAGTGGGCGTCAGCGTTCAAAAGGGGCCGTGCTGTTCGATGCGAGTTGGAAGGGAATTCCTTGAACTGGCATGGGCTGTTCGATGCCTGCTGGCCTGCTTGTGCGGGAGGGACAGTTGTTTGGAGCTTTTTGTCTCATTTATGATTCTCGTCTTCGGTGCCAAACATGTCAAGGCCATTCTTGTTGATCCTGCACTCCAATGGGTGCCCTACAGTGACCATGGACACATGGTATGCCAACTCCACCACGACGGACTGTTCCAGCATTCCGGCATGAGGTCATCCTTGCATCAACCGTCTACCCAACTGCAGTTGCCAAACATAAAAAACTAGAACCATTTCCCTAGACTTCCAAGACCATTAAAACAATTATGGTTGACCTTGTTTTGCAATGTAAAATCGATAGTTACGTTGATTCGGGATTCATCCTATTAAATCACGAAAGGTAGCCCTTTAGGGGATACCTTGAGTTTGTCTTGCGAAGCAAGTGTTGGGACGTCCGGGTCTAATAATTGATCGCTCAATTCAGACGCCCCCCCACCCCCCCCCCCCTGGAATTGCTTTTTCAATACAAACCCCCCCCCCCCCGCCCCCTTGGAATTGATTTTTCAATACAGACCCCCCCCTCCCCCCTCTAAAATCAATTCTCTCCTGGAGAACGTCTTCGTGAGCCTCTCATGATTTCAGGATAGTTGAAACCCTCTTGAACATTTAGAAAGAGTGAATATGAAATTCTAATCACGAAAGGTGTCCCCCGAGGGGATACATACCTAGAGTTTGTTTTGTGAAGCACGTCAATTCTCTCCTGGGGAGCGTCTTCGTGAGCCTCTTATGGTTTCAGGATAGTTCAAATCCTATGATGTTCCGATTCAATGCTCACAGATGATCTGAGCAATGGGGCAAGTTTGTTTTCCTAAGAACCTTTTTGAACATTTCGAGTGCACATGTTTGAACATTTAGAGTGCATATGAACATATATTTACGACAGGTCGCCTCCGAGGGGATAAATCACCATGTCGAACATTGCATTTTTGTTCCTGCCTCTCGCGTTCTCTTCTCTTCCCGCTGTCCTACCTTTCGTGTCTCCCTCCTCTCAAGTTATATAATGGTTGTTGGAAGCCTAAGGATTTGTTTGGTTTCTTTCATCTTTGCAGTCATTCAATGTGTTCCTTCATTCGTACGCCCGCTTGGAGATCCAGATCCACCGCTCTAGAAGGGGCATCGATACATCCGCCATCTATCCGCCACGTTGCGCACAGGCACGCGCAGTCAGGGGATGATACCACGCTGAATGACCGAAGATATGGCTCGCACGAAGCATGAGCCTCAATAACTCGTTAGCCCCCTGCCAAGCCCACTGCCCTGCCACAAGCACAAAACTTTCCTGAGTTGGTCATATTCATCCGCTTTTGCAACTTTTTAGTGAGAGCTCTCACCAACATGCCAAGCACATTAATCCCCAATCATCATTTCCCATGTTCTTCTCATCATCCTCCCCTTCCGGAGAAGACGTCACCTCTTCCAGCGCCCTCTTCCACACCCTCGGAGGGAAGACGCCGGACCCCCACACTTGGCCCGGACGTCCCGCGACCCGCGTCGTCGAGCGTCGTCTCCCATGGACCTATGGGCGCTGCTTGTGCTCGAAGAGCTGCGCGGGCGCCGCGGGAGGACCGGGGCAGCTGCGCTGCGAGTCTTCGGAGCACGCAGAGCTTGGAGGAGGCTCCGGGCATGTCGCGAAGAGAGATTCTCAGTGGTTTGACCGTCCCCGGGTTGGCTTCTCCGCTTATCCACGGGTTCGCGAAACCCGTGGAAAAGGGTTTGGAGCCAGGTGGCCATTGAACGGCTTGTGAATGGATAAGAGGTTGAGGTGCCTTAGCACTCCAAGTCACGGAATTTGGGTTGGTGTCAGATCGCATACCATGAATTGTGTCGATTACAGTCGACCTTGTCGACGGTAATTGCGATTACCGTTGTTATAGTTATTGTACCCTGGGAGTCCAAGACTAAAAAAGAATGGTCTTTAGGGGACCTGAAAGGGAACTTCCTTTACTTCAGCCGGTCAAAATATCATCTAACTGGACTTCTAGGGTATATGAAGCGCTAAGATGGTAAGTTTCCACCATTTTTGGGGGCTGGAAGCATCGAAGCAGCCGGAAGCATCCATGCGTCGGGCGTTTCTTTCTTTTATATTTCCGGCCACACAGTGGCGGCCATGAGAGAGGAGTGTTTTGATGTGTATCGTGATGATGTGTATAGCCTCACGGATGTGCCATGATAATTCTAGCGCACATGGCATGACATCGGGTTTTGTAGGGCAGAAGGCGAAGATCAGCAACAAAAACTAGGGGCTTTGCACGGCCTTTTGTCCCTCAAGTGGCCACGCTGTCCACTCGCGGCCTCGACTGCCAGGCCTTCCGCGTGGACTTCCCGAAGGAATGGGCCGCGGTGAGCTCGCATGATGGGCAGAGCATCCAGGCGAGTCATGGATGGAGGGTATTGCAAAAGGAGCCTGCTAGCGGTGGCCTCCACCCTACTAGCGATGGCCTCCAACCCCAAGATTCGGCACCTGCAGTGTGTGGCCGACCATTTCACCAACTCGGTACTCGGTAGTAGGTTTTATAGGCATTTTGTAAGTGACCCGTGAGCATTCCTACTGAGTGGACTGTCCTGCATTTGTACCTCCCATCTCATCTTATCCATATTCCTGGTTCAGCATGTTCTTATTTCTCATCACCAGTCCGAGAGACCAGTCCGGCAAGTCCGAGGTAGTTTTCAAGGAGGGTTCTTTTTCAGGTCAACCAGCTTTGTTTTGAGCCGCTTCCTTGCAGATGTTGCTTGTTCAACTCATGGATCTCGGATCGTCTACGTTGAAACTTGGGTGATCATTGATGCAGCACATGCTAGGAGGAGCTAAGCAGCTGCTACCGGCTAGCAAGACGTTTGAAACTGCTTGGGTCTCCATATGAGGAACGAAAACCGATGTAGACTCTTGATGAATAAAGCATCGCATTTGGTCTTTAAACACCTCTCCATATGGCGGGCTTTATTAATCAAGAGTCTACATGAGTTGCTTCCCTGACCCGGGCGAACAAGCACTGGATGCTATCGGATACCCCGTCTCGTGGGTCTCACCGCCGAACCGCTTCCCGTCACGGTCAGACTCGGGCGCTGCAAAGCCAGCTGCGGCTTTCAGGCCTCACGGAGGCACGGGCGGGCGACCTTTTCGGGTGGTGTTTCCCGCACGGGCGGCCGACGACGCACGGGCGGCCGGTGACCAATAAGAAGACTTCGAACCTGAGGCCTCCAGGAGCTTCCGGCGACCACGGGTCCATGCAGCCAAGGTCTAAGACCAAGCTGCATGCTTGTTGAAACGGTCCAACGGTCCGCCAGCCGCTCGCCGCTAGCCACGCCCGAAGTCCGGCTCACCGCGGCAAGGCCTCACCTCCTCGGCTGCTTCGGATTCGGAACGGGCTACTCTTCACCCCGGGTGTCAGACAAGATCAGAACAGTCCTGGTTGGGGGACAACTCTCGTTTTCGTACCTGCTGATCGTACAACGGTTTGATTGAGACAATTCATGTGAGTATGATTCAGTAAGGTGGACTAATTGGTCCTCATATTTCTTTGAATTTGATTTGGATGGACGTTCTCCCATTCCATCCGCCTCTCTCGGGGAACGTTGCCGTGCCGTGCCTCTCGACTTCGTGTCGTTGTCCGCCCGTCGGATCCGGTCGAAGGCGGCGGCGGCCCATCCGCATGGAGAGCTCCATTTCTACATGGTGTACTTGTGACCCTGGCCCTGGATGGAAGTCTAGGGAAGTCTAGTGAGTCTGCAGTAATTACGCCGTTTGCTTTGTAGCTGAGGGGTGGGGAAATCTGAGAATTTGGAAGTGAAAGAGGTTCACGTGTCATTTCATGGGTGGCACCGAAATTTGGGAGGTCGGATGCCGTTGACTGCGCCACCCGAACCCGCAACAACAAGCTCTATAGTAACATAGCTGACTGCTAAACGGGGCTGTGAGGAATCCAGGGCTGCTGGATAGGAAGCGGCCAACATGACAGGACATGGCTCAGCGACGGCGTGAGGGCGTGAGGGCGTGAGTGAGCGAGTGAGTGAGGGAGTGAATCCAGATCCAACCTATGTTGGCCGTGGCTAGGTGAGGGTCATAGAACTGCAGGTGGCCATTGGTGGGACTGCCAGAGCTAGAGAGTGAGAAAGAGAGAGAGAGAGAGAGAGAGACTGTGAGTAACCCAACAAACCATCGCCTAGGCATGCCTAGGCCTATTCTTCCTGGTCCTTCCTCTCAAGACACCTGGACCGGGCTTCTTGTTTCACGTCTACTTTCACGGTATATACGTCTCACCGTTTCCTCCCGCGCCGCCTTCCCGCGCCTTCCCGTCCCCCTACCATCGAGGCGAGGCGATGGGGGTGGCTTAGAGGTTCGTCCCTCGCAGATCCCGTCCGCGGGGCGGGGGCTCTTTGCCACGCGCGCCTCGGACGGCGGCGGAAGACCGGACGCGTTCTCGACCGTTTCTCGGGACGACGGAGGATTGGGACGTCCGGAGGTGGTGGGGATTGGGACGTAGAAGGGGCCGACTTTTAAATTTTTAGAGTTTACAGGTTCAATTGGCCCTGTTCACAGCTACATCATAGAGAGTTGAGTAGTGGAAAAGGCTAGCAAGGCCTCATGATCCCAACTTTTTGGGGGGGAAGGCCAGCAATCCAGGTTGGGTTCATCACCTCCATTTCACCCCGAAACACAGGAACGCCTATAGTTCTGACTTTGGACCATCCCTTTGCATCCCGGCGAAAACCCAGGTCTTCGGGGCTTCCATGTTTGATTTCACCTGGCCTCCGAGTGACCCCACCCGGCCGAGCTCGGACGTGCTGGGCCCTGGGCCGAAACCGAGGTTCCTTTGCAGCAGGTGAGCTGCTGTGCGTCTACGGGGGCCAGGCCGTGCCCTTGGCCAAGGTGCTGCGCGGCGCCTCGGCGCCGGCACGGCCTTGGGGCTGGTGATTGGTGGCCTGACCCAGAAAGTTCGGCCAGTATATTTGGATGTATATATATATATATTATATACCCTGGGAGTCAAAGACTATCAAAAGAATGGTCTTTAGGTGACCCGAAAAGGAATATGCTTCACTTCAGTCGGTCAAAATATAGTCTTTGGACTTCTAGGATATATACTTATATGATATATGGTACCAAACTGACCCCCTGGAAGAGGACATCATTGATGAAGACATTACATGTGGGTGGAGAACGAACGCCCCCTGCGTTGTTGAAGGCTACCATGGAGGGCCTCCCATGGAATTCCACCGAGTTCTGTGAGCCCGAGGGCAACCGTTCTTCACCAGATCAACATCACGGTCAGCATGTAGGATTCCAGGGCACAGAACTTTTGATGGTCTTTTTTTTCAAAGGCCGGGGGCCAGGGCATGCCGGAACCTCGCCTCGACTTCTTGTGTTTATAGTAGGTTCCATTGACCTAGCCGCCCCCCGGGTAAATTTCATGACAAGACAGTGGGGGGGGCAAGGGTCAAAATGTCTCTGTGGCTGGCAAGGCAGCGAGCAAAAGCTTGGTTCAAAGAGGGTGTAGATGTCAAGACAGAATATGATCATGTCAGCAGAGTATGATCATTGCACAGGTGTCAAGGCAGTATGCTAACCTATGGTCGGAGGTTGCTCCAAAAATGTCAAGACAATGAAACCCACTATATCTGATCTGCCCAACCGATTGATACAACGATTCCTGACATGCACCATAGGGAAAAAGAACCTGTACAACGCAACTCCCAGTCGAGCCTGGGCTCCTCCACTGGCCGACTTTGGATGATCTTTGATGATTCGCCAACGGCTCGACACATCGGAATCGACGTCCGATGTGTTGGGTGCCACCGGGCCGCCGCAAGACCGGGCAAGATGAGACGAAGAAAGGCTTGCAGGAGTCCAAAAGGGGGTGGTTTGGGGTCCCATTCAGTGAGTGGATCATGGGTATCCCTATCCTCCAAGTTAGGCACCCCTGGGCCCTGTCTGGTGACTCCTGGTTCTTCGCATTTCTGAGCCTTCCATGGTGAGCTCCGGGTTCGGCTGAAGGCTTCATGTCCACGCCCAGGCGAGGTCAAAGACAAGGACTACCTGATGGGCGGCTTCGGGCTGTACAGCCGCTGGGCGAGACGCCACGCCGGGGCGGGGGGCAGCCGTGGTGAAGCCGTGGTTGGGGCAGCAAGGGTGGTTCTTGGTCTCCCTTTGGGGGAGCTTTTTTGGAGAAACTTTTCCCTAGCGTGCGGGCATGTCCTCCTCACGGCCAAGCACGGCCAACCACGCCCTGTCAGTGTCCTCCTCACTTCGCCGATGCGCGGCCTTCGCATGGCATTGGTTCCCTAAGTCCGGCTGAAACACCGGCCTAACAAGTCAGGTCAATGTTCTTTAGTTGGGCCCCAAACAAGTCAAGCCACTTCTTTCAGAGTCTTTACCTCCCAAACCTCCCCTGTCCCGACCTCCCCTGTCCTGTGGCACCAAACCGCCCGGCCGTCACTTCGGCACCGTCAGGTGTCGACGCTGCGAAGCATCCGGAGGTCTTGGCACGCTACATCAATGACCACGTGCCATGGACGGAGGGGACGGAGGGGACGGGCGATGAGAGACGTCCGGTAACGCCCGTATACCACAAGTGGGTCTACGGTCTACATTTCAGTATGCCTACTAGGGTCCCTCAACAGTAGTTGGGGGGGATATCCTTTCACGATGTCTCTAGCAACATGGTCTCTAGCGTGTGGATTCAACCAGTGTGACTCCGCGCGAGGTCGACGCTTCCAAGCACAACGTCAAGTTCCTGAAGCTCAAGAGGCCGGGCTCGCTCGGGGAGGGTTTCGGCCTCGGAGCTCGCTCCGCCGACGGGAGTGGGCGTGGGCGCGGGGGGTCACAAAGAGAGCTTGGACGTGGTGCAGGTTGCCTGGTGCACGGCAGTTAGGGCAGGGTGCAGTGACTTTGGATTTTTTGGGGAGGCCTGTCTTGGTTGTTGGACCCACTTCGATCCACTTCTGCAGATTCTGGTGTCTCACCATTTTCGAATCCATTTTCGCTGCAGAATTCCCGTGTTATCTACCGAGGGAGTTGCGCGAACACTCGCTGGGCGAACGCAGATGTTCGTTGCAGTCCACCACAGGGAGCGGCGGGCCCTGGCGGTGGCCATGCGGGAGATTGTGGCGGGAGAAGAGATCCATGCTGCTTGGACCGCGGCACAGCGCACGGAAGATGAACTGGTGATTGACTTCAACTGCAGACCATTCACTTGAAATGGTGAGGTCCATGGTTCTTCACTTGTTCTTCGGTGCCTCACCGATCTCTGAAGCGAACCGGACGACGACCGACCCGGACAGGACGACCGACCCCGCTCCCGGCTCCCGCGCAAAGAGGCTGCAAAGCAGGTCGTGACTAGACGATCTCTTCGATCGTGTCTCTTTCAATCTGTCTATTTCAGGCACTGCTGCAAATCTAAGACAGATTGAAAGAGACACGATCGAAGAGATCGTCAAGAAAGAACTGGTTTGCAGCTTCTTTGCGCAACTGAGGCTTTCTATGGGGAAGGCTATTGGAGAGCTCGCCCGGCTCCAGGACTTGCAGACGCAACAACAAACCAGGTCTCAGAAGGACCAAACGTCACACGCTGGACCAGGAGTCACAAAGGAGTTGTGTTTAGTCCCTCATTGAGTGGATCATGGGCACCCCGAACCTCCATGGATAGAGGCCCGTCTGGACTGCTGGGGTATATCTTTTCACAAAAAATCCTGGAAAGACGCCTCCCTCCACACCCAGGCCGTGGCCCGATGCCTGCAGCTGGGGCGAAATGAAGGCAGCCGGCGAACGCGCGCGAACGCGCGCGAACGCGCGCATGCGCGAGCGCGCGAACGCGGTTGGGGGAACGTCGAGCCAGGAGGACCAGCTTGGTTTCATTCAATGGTCCTCAGGCACATGGGCATATATAGACCCTGTGGATCCCTGCGGATCCGAATGGCACGCTGAAAGGCTGCTTTCCCCCTATAAACTAGTTGTTTTCAGGATCCATGTTAGCCTTCAGCGGGGGTTTCTCCTGTTATTTGGGGGCTTCGGTTGAAGGACGCTGGGATGCTGAGGACGCACTTTGATGAAGGTTGGTTTTGAGAAGCTCACAACGCCGTCCCGGCCGTACTTTGGATTGCCACCTCCGGTCCAGACGGGGCTTGTGCCAACGCATGCTCCAGCAAATGAAGGAGGGAACGGGACACCTCAAGCAGTTCTGGAACAAGACCCCCGCAGCAGATTCGAAGCATCCCAGAAAAACCCAGAGACGGACCCCACGGCCGATCTGCCTGGCAACCGGGGTCACTTGCCACCAGCTGCCCGAAGTGAGAAAAAGGAGAACCCCAACACAAGCCACTGGATATACCGTCTCAACATGACCTATGAGGATCTCCCTTAGTATCCTTAGTCCCTGCTAGGTGCCAGCTCTCAGCACGCCGGAGGCAAAACCCACCCGGTTCCAACCCGTTCCATGGTGACAGACGCCGCGCCACCCGCGGGTCGCGCCATGGAGCCACAAGACTTGTCGGCGTCCGAGCTGGAGGCCGCGCGCGGTTTGGACGCGGATTGGGCAGACGCGTGGGGCGCTGTGGCCAGGTGGCGTGGGGTGAAAACAGCTGGAGCCAGAGCCAAGGTTCAGGAGGGTTCAGGGCACACACCACGAAAGCCAAGGAGTTGGGGGTTGAGTCGCGCGCTAGGCGATGTTGAGTGAGCTCTTGGGCAAGTATCAGGAGCCTGCCTTCCAGCGCGCCTTGCAGGAGGCACATGCGTCGGCTGGACACATGCAGCTTGCAGATGCTGGTCGTCCTTGGGGGGGACTGGTTCGGAGACCCTCAGGGTCCACCTGATCGGAGGGGATGGGGGTTCCGCTTGGGTCGCAGAATGCATGATCCTTGTTACCATGTGGGGGATTGTTTGCATCATACCTCGACCCCAAGAGCGATCACCCAGACATGATTCCCGGATGATCCGGATTGTGGTATGTCAATATGACTATGAGTTCATCTACCTTCTTCATGCACTGGATTTGTGAGTTGGTGAGGGTAGACGCCACATCCTTCGGAATCAGTCAGAACAAAGCACTGGTTCGCTGGTCCCAAGGGGCCGCTGAGCTGGTCAGGCCTACAGCAGCTGTGCGAGGCAGAAGATCGGGCTCCAAGCAGCGTTAGGGCCACTGGTTCTTTCGGTGCAGAAGCCGGTGTTGGCCGCTGAGCTGGTCTTGGTGTGGGCGGTGGACTTGGGCTGGGGGCGGTCTTGGTGGGGCTAGTAGCATTACTGGCTGGCTGGACGCTTGGGGACCTTCTTGAGGTTTTACGAGGGAGGGCCCCATAAGGAGCTACCAAGCAAAACAACGGAACGTATATTCCAAAGAAGAAAACACATGAAAAAGCATGAAAAAGCACATTCCAAAAACTACCATCGCGGCGGTTTTCACTAGGTCAGGACATTTCTCACCCTATTTTAGCAGTTCCGTCATAATACATAATAAATCATAATAATGATACATGGGTTCTTGGATTCAGTTCAGGCCCAGCAGTTTTCTCTCCCCGCTTCTTTTGGAACCCAAACCGCCTCGAACGGCGGCCTCGAACCGGAGGAAAAGTACGGCCTCCCGGGCAACGCCAGTGGCGTCGACCTCATGAAGCATGCCGTGCAGCGCCGCGCCACGGCGCGGTGCAGAGGGGATGCGGCGCCCCGCGCGTTTGGTGGAAGAGAACATCCAAACTTGGGTTCAATGAGCGGTGCCTGTAAGAACCGCAACATCTAAAGGAAGAAACGATTTTGAAAGGTAGCTGGGAGTCCATGAAAACGAACAGAACGAACAGAACGAGTCGAAGCGCCTTTGGGGGGTTGCCACATGCCTCGCAGCATCCAGAGTTAAACATGTGTTGCTTCGGCCCCTCACGGCCTTGGACGATCCAGAAGTGAAAGACACGCGACGACGAAGCTCCCCCATTGCGGGCCGGAACCTCCAAATCTGTACTTTGGAAGGGGCTGCCGGCTACCCGGTCCTACCCCAATTTCTCCTAAAATCGTCAGCATGAGATCAGCAGTCGTTGAACAGCGCCCCCTCCCCAACACCAACCCCGATTTCGCCGCCCCACGGGCCGGCGTGGACTCCACCACCCCCCGAGGCATTTGCGAAGGCTCCGACGCGGTGGAAGATTTGGCGAACCAAGCCCGGAAGGCAAGGCCTCCCTCCCGCCCATCCCGGAGCGGATGGGACGGACGGCGAGAGTGGAAAAAACAGGGGTGCCAGGCACCCAAAAGGGAGGAAAGGATAGTTTAATCGATCTCAAAAAACGTCTAAGATGAGGAGTTGAACATAGTTGAACATATTCTTGAATTTCGAGATGATATAAGGTTTCAACAGTTTTCAACAGTTTTGAATAGAACGTTTCTTTATTTTTTTGGCTGGTTTTTGTGTGAGGAAACCGCTCCAGTGGCTGGCAACTGGCCTTGGCATCCCTCCCTCGGGCAGGCCCTGGGCATCGAGCAGCTGCCCAAGCGCCAGGTCTCCGCGGAGGAGCAGCTGCAGCGCGGCGCCGATGAGACGGCGCCGCGGTGGGCGGGGCGGGGTCGGAGGTCCGGTTTCTCCAAGTGGTGTGGCAGTTGCTCTGGGCATGTGGTTGTAGACAAAAAAAGCCCGACGCAATCATGGTAGAGAGAATCTTGAAGCATCTCTCCTTTCTGTGGGGCATAACGCTTTTCCACCATGTGCAAGAAGTTTGGATGAAGAGGGGTACAGCAAGAATACGACCACTTTATTTCACCTTCTGCCCAGCAACACGGCCACTTTTGACGAGGTCTTTCGCTTCTCTTCGCCCGCTTCTCTTGACGTTTGCCGGACGCAGGCGGCCAAGTTTGCCGGAGATGGGCAGCCCCAGCTGTGGCAGCAGTGTGCTAAAATGCTGGAGCAAGCCATGGCCAAAGGCTGGACCAGTGGCGTCCGGAGTCCGGAAACGAACCCGTCCCCCTACCGTGCTCTCAAGCTGAGCTAACTGATCGTGCTCGCATGCCAATGAGCCAAACACCTGCCCTTTTCCATTGGGATGTGTTGGGGGGTCGTCGGTTGGGACGAACCTCATGAGCTGTGGCGGCCGGTGCTGCCACGACGAGAATCATTCTGCTGAGAGGATCACTTGAGAATTGGCTCTCCTGTTTTGCTGAGCTGGATTGTTCTTGGATTAGTTCCTGGATTCCCTCCATGCATAACCAGGCAATGGGACATGAATCATGACCATGATATTACATCAAACATCGAAGCAGATACAAGCCCCTTGGTGTTCAGGCACGATCCCAGAAGCGTCGATGCAGTTCTTGCAAGAGCTCTTGAGCAGAGAGGCGGTGTCAGTGCCCTCGATCCTGTGCTTGTTCAGGACCGCAGAGAGGCAGAGGTTGCATGCGCGACAGACGTGGCCAAGACAAGACATGCTGAGACCCCCCTGCAAGTCGACCCTGTCGAGCGGCACGCGTCGACCCGGACAGCCAGTTCGATGCCAGCGAGTTCAGGACACCTTCGCAGTGTCCGACCTTCACGCCCCACCAAGAAAACTCTCCCAAAGACCGCCAGGCAAGCAAGCTCATGGGTGGTGAGGCCCAGAAATCGACTTCTCTGGATCATGGGGGGGGTTTCAACATCAAAGCTGCTAGCTGCTAGCCATAGGATGATCTCTGGATGATCTCTTGGTCATCTTCTCGCACGCGCAGGATGGCCCAATTGGGGATCCATGTGAGCCTGCTGAGGGGCCTGAGGATACCTAGCGAAGCGACCTGGCATGAGGGTGACCTAGAGAACTACAGTGGTTGCAGAGTAGATGGAACAATCCCCTTTTATATGGTGGTGTAAAGGGACCACCATATAAATACATGACATCTAGGTTTGTGCCATGTACTCTGAAACAAACCTGCATGGAGCAAAGCCATGACTTCAACCACCTTCCTCAATGCGCCCTTAAACGCCGCTTCGACTGTTGCGTTCGCATGCGTTCGAAGCTTCGCCGCACCGGACTGGAGCACTTCGATGATGGCGCTGTCCTGCAGATGAACCCCCCAAACCCGCCCTTTTCTGGTGGAGGAACCCCATCTTCCCGAGCCAGGGCGTGGTCTTGGTGAGACTCGGTCGAAGGTGACGCTCGTAGCTCTGAGGTGCCCGAGGTCGTGGAACTGCCACCAGCGAAGCTCTTCTTTGAGCGCTATGCCTTGACTGGCTCTCCCGTGGCCCCTGGGAGTTTACCGCTGTGCGGTGTGCGGACGGATGGCCACAGGATGGCCAGAAGGATACGCAGGAGTTGTTTGTAAGTTCCACGTTGTTTGCACGAATGATTTCGTAGATTGACCTGGCAGGTGCCCAGAAGTTACAGTTAGGTCCTGCAGCCTTGTCATCCTACAGTCTTAATGTTACACAAGGTGTCTGTTCTCCCAGCCACATTCAAAACGGTGGGCCGGTGGTTAGGAAGACCGGAGTGTTGCGCATGCATCGTGCCCGCGGGACCTCGTGCGTGCGAGCAAGCTCAGCGAGGTCCTCCGCGGAGCCTTCTCGCCCGAGCGCTTTGAACCCTGCGGCCGATTGCCGGACTTCGACTTCTTACGCCAGAAGTGTAGCCACCGGCGGGCCGCGTGGCATGGTAGGTGGAGGTGGGGCACACGTGGCGTGTTAGGTGAAAAGGACACTGGATGTTTGTTGTTGAGCTTTTGGAAGCTTCATCCAGTAACAAGTAGCTACTATAGGAACAAAGGGCATCGCTACGAACGGAGCAAGGACGGACGCTACGAACGTAGCTCCTGGCAT